GGTAAAAAAATGGAATTTTAGGGAGAAAAAAGGAGAATTTTAGAGGGAAAAAAGAATTTTTAGGGAGAAAAAATGGAATTTTAAGGGGAAAAAAAAGATAATTTTAAGGGGAAAAAAAGGGAATTTTAAGGGGAAAAAAAGGGAATTTTAGGGGGAAAAAAGGGAATTTTAGGGGGAAAAAAGGGGAATTTTAGAGAGAAAAAAGGGGAATTTTAAGGTAAAAAAATGGAATTTTAGGGAGAAAAAAAGGGAATTTAGGGAGAAAAAAGGTGAATTTTTGAGGGAATAAACCATTCTCAACGTTGCCAGCCCAGATTAACAGGGGATCCTCGGGAAAAAATGGAATTTTAGGGGAAAAAGGGAATTTTAGGGGAAAAAAAGGAGAATTTTAAGGAGAAAAAAGGGGAATTTTAAAGGGGGAAAAAAGGGAATTTTAGAGAGAAAAATGAGGAATTTTAAGGGGAAAAAAGGGAAATTTTAGAGGGAATTTGGGGCAAAAAAGGGAATTTTTAGGGAGAAAAAATGGGAATTTTGGGGGAAAAGAAAGGAATTTTAGGGAGAAAAAAGGGAATTTTAAGGGGAAAAAAAAGAGAATTTTAAGGGGAAAAATGAGGGAATTTTGGGGAAAAAAAGACAATTTTTAGGGAGAAAAAAAGGGAATTTTGGGGGGAAAAAAGGGAATTTAAAGGGGAAAAAAGGGAATTTTAGGGAGAAAATAGGGGAATTTTAAGGGGAAAAATGAGGGAATTTGGGGGGAGAAAAAGGGAATTTTAGGGGGAAAAAAAGAGAATTTTAGGGGAAAAAAAGGGAATTTTAGGGGGAAAAAAGGGAATTTTAGGGGGAAAAAAGGGAATTTTAGGGAGAAAAAAAGGGAATTTTAGGGAAAAAAATGGGAATTTTAGGGGGAAAAAAGGAGAATTTTAGAGGGAAAAAAAGAGAATTTTTAGGGAGAAAAAATGGAATTTTAAGGGGAAAAAAAAGGAATTTTAAGGGGAAAAAAAGGGAAT